ATAATTGATTGTAGGTAATAATGTATAAAGTTGAAATTTGTACAATGTAGAGTTAGGACAATTTATTAGGAAAATCTCATATATTGAACATCGTCTTTCATGTTTTTAATAAATATTTTGTCCTGAAAAAGTATGGAAATACACGAACAGCTTATTAATTATTGATAGTAACAATTCGATTATTATGTGTGACAGTTGTCTTTGTTCTTATTTAAATTTCGTTATCTAAACCTCCGAGTGACGCTATCTGCTCCCCAAGATAGCATGTAACATACATCAACATTTCTCCTTGCTAATTACAGTCGTGACAAGCATCAGACAAACTTCCCGTAAACCCCTGGGCTTTGCGTTTCACGGGGTTGAATTTTGATTATTTTTTTGTTGGGAGATACGCTTACAAAAAAAAAAAAAAATCACCTTCACAAAAACAAAACCCTTCCTAGGGTATGGGAAGCACGCCGAAACAGTTGCCGTGGTATGCTTCCCGTTAAAACAGCAATCCTGATGGCTTCTTCCTCCCCCCGCAGGGGCTTTTTCTATTGTCTATCTAGGGGGCTACACAAATGGATATTAATCTCGCGATGCTTTTACGCATCATGCAGTGCGCTGACACAGATTCATCTTCCCTCAACCCGGCCCCATATTTACATAAGATCCCATTTTCCCTTTAAATCACATTTCTTTTATTTGAACACCAAATGCTTTCTCGTCTCTTCTCTGGGGAATAAATCTTCCTAGAATGACATCGTCGAATTAAAACTTTAATTTCTTTTTTTCCTCCAAAGGGAATATTTATTTCGTATGTATTTCTCCAGGATTCATTGCATTCATCTTTATTAGGTTTTAATAATAACTTTGTTTTTTTTTGGGGGGGGATGAAAATTAGCCGCTCGTTTAAGAGAATCCGCCCTAGTTTCTCCGGTCTGGTAAAATGTATCAATTGATTTAAGACCCGATCTGGCCGTTTCCGAGTGAAGGAAGTGGTGACTATTTGTCTAGAGCCAATCCCTCTCAAACTGTCAGGTGTGGAAGAAACGGTTAAAGAGCGCACGTATTCACCTCACAGAGTCCTACGACACGGTTCTCCCATCACAATTCTTACCAGGAGAAATAACCAGAAACGTTCCCACATGAAATCACGAACTTGTGTATAATATGCCTGACGATTCGATCTGACTTATCGGTTTATAACGTAATAAAACTCGATTATTTGTCACAATAGTGTCAAAAAGTAAAATTCTACATTCTCCTTTATCATTTCTTCATACTTATCATTTAGTATTGATTACAGTTACATGAAAAATAATACTTAAATAAAAATCTACATGAAAAATACAAAAACGATAGGTAACGTTTAAATTTCACTATTTAAATTTTTATTCAAACAATTTTTTTTATTGTTTAGCGTGGCTAAAATTTGAAAAAAAATTTAACCGAAAAAACTGTCTGAAGGTTATTTAGCAGGGCAGGGGTTGTGATGGTTAATATAAAATAAAAGTTTTTACCTTTCAGGTTCATTTTTGGGAAATAAATCAAATTCTTTCGAAAGAATCCAGCATTCTTGGCATAATCCGTTTTTAGTCGAGGTCCGGTTTTGTGCCTAGGCCGTCAGCGGAGGAATACGTGGATAATTGCCGGTATCGATATAATTAAAAGCCTCAAGGGCGAGGAGAAAACCACGTCCGTTACCCTCCTCGATACACCACGGCTATTCGTGAACGTCTCATTCGGCACTTCTTCATAAAAGAAAATTACACCAGAGAGACGAGACCCAACTTTATTGGAGAACGATATTCCTACCTGGTAGCAAAATTGACTTTTTTTAAATTCTCTACCTGTCATTTTTACTAAATGTTTCAAATTTTTAAAATTTTACTTTTAGTTTATCCCCTTTCATCATAAACCCAGTTGTCTATAAATGTTGATCGTCTTTCCTCCTTCACCCTTCTCCATAAATTCACGCGTACGACAATCTTACAAATTTTCTTATATTTCGACCTCAACAGTTCAACTTATGATTTTTCCTTCTCAAAGGTGGGATATTATGTCAACTCAAAGAAACAACAACCAGTTTTTCTTTCAATCCACAACGTTTCGGATTTATTTTAATCCTTCCTCAGCTGTGTTAACGCAGTGGTTAAAACAGTGGTCGTCAGTCATTAATATTTTGTAACAGTTTATTTAAAAAAAGAGCCATTAGTCAGGTTCAAAATATTAAAACGTTTTGTTGGAGTCTGAAAGACTTAAATATGTACCACACTGGCTCTTTTTTAAAATAAACTGTTAGAAAATGTTAATGACTGACGACCACTGTTTTAACCACTGCGGTAACTCACCTGAGCTGAGGAAGGATTAAAATAAATCCGAAACGTTGTGGATTGAAAGGAAAACTGGTTGTTGTTTTTTTGACATGACCTATTATCCCACCTTCGAGAAGGAAAAATTATTAGTTAATCTTAGAAATGTTAGAGTGCTTCTTGTTATAAAATGGCTTTTTTATTTAAATTATTATTGCGTAACGATAAATTTATGTTTTCTACTGGGGTTGTTTCGTTTTATTGTAATTTCGTTTAAGCCCCTCGTCAGAAATATTACTAATTCTTCACCCCTATTTATTCCTCGGTTGATAAATATTGATGTTGTATCGAAATTTCAAATGAATGCCGGTTCTAAAATTTAAGGTCCCCCCTCGATCCCTGGGGGTGAAGGAGGCGATGGTAGTGAACAAAATTTTTCTCGCGGCTCGCATAAATATTCCACCTTAATGTCTCCCCGAACAAGTCTGGTTTCCGGTAATGAACCTAAAGGGAGTTGTAGCTTAGAGGAAAAAAAGCCGAGAGGGGAGGGTCGGGCGTGTTGCGAGATTAAAAAAAAGTACAGGAAAAAAAACTAGGGGAAATGTAGAAAATTAAAAATCCCATTATTGAGCTTAATGAAGAGCAGGGATAGATTCGGTAGGGTGGCCGGTTTAGATTTTTATGCCCTAATAAATATTCATAACCATCCGGATATCAGGGGCGATATAATTACAGACCAGTGCTAAACAGTGATAATGCCCATTCCGGGGGGTTTCGCGTGGCCACATCCCTCCAGGAAGGAACTGACAGCCCTCAGCTCTCATCCCTCGCCTGGTCGGCTGCCCTTCATCCCACGATAAGCCTGTCCCGGCCGACACTTCCTCTCACCTCGATCACAGCCTGTGCATATACCCGAGTGGATTTATTGAACGAGGATGTATGACTATATATATTTCACCTGGGCGACCGATTTTTTGAAACATTTCAATAACTGGACTAAACGAAGGCTGTAATTGGAGGGTTAAGGTCGTTAGCCAGGTAGTGACTAATGAAATAGTCGATGATGCTAATTTACAAGAAAGCTATCGCCAAGCTTTACTAGAAAGCTACCTTCAAATAACATTGTTCAGTAAACTCCGGTTAAATTCTCATACATTACTGTCAAAACTCAAAACTCAAACACCGTATTAATATTCTCAAGAATTTAATTCTAAATCGAAAATATGACAGATTTGAGACATGCACGTATTTTACAAAAAAAAAAAAAAAAATCTTTGAGCGAAATCAAGTTAAATTTCATACACTATTGTCAAAACTCAAAACACAGACGCAGTATCAATATTCTCAACAATTTGCTTCTAAATTGAAAATACGACAGATTTTAGACAAGTACGTATTTTATAAAAAAAAAAGTTTGCGTGAAATCAGGTTAAATTTCATACATTATTGTCAAAGCTCAAAACTCAGACACAGTATCAGCATTCTCAAGAATCTGCTTCTAAATCGAAAATATAACATATTTTGGATATGTAGGTATTTTACAAAAAAAAAAAAAAAAAAAAATATGACCGATTTTAGACATGTACGTATTTTACAAAAAAAATTCTTTGATTGAAATCAGGTTAAATTTCATACATTTTTGTCAAAACTCAAACATATTATCAATATTCTGAAGAATTTGCTTCTAAATCGAAAATATGACAGATTTTAGACATGTACATATTTAAAAAAATCTTCGAGTGAAATCAGGTTAAATTTCATACATTTTTGTCAAAACTCAAAAATTAGACACAGTATCTCAAGAATTTGCTCCTAAATCAAAAATATGAAATATTTTAGGCATATAAATATTTTACACAAAAAAATCTCTCTCTCTCTCTCTCTCTCTCTCTCTCTCTCTCTCTCTCTCTCTCTCTCTCTCTCCCCCTTTCTCTTATTATCTCTATCTCGCTTACTTTCTTGACCTTCTTCGTTTTCGTTTTTTAAAAATCTTTTTGTTTTTTCTTTCTTTCCTCTTTGGTTTCCTCTATTTTTTTCTCTACCTTACTCACTTTCTGTTTTATCTTTCCTTCTTTCTAACTTACTTTCCTTTCTTGTTTCTTTCTTTTTCATTATGTTTTGATCTTTCTCTTGCTTTCTTTTTCTTTCTCTTTTTCCACTTCTTTTTATTTTGCTCGTTTTCTCACTGGCTCGTTCTAATGTTTATTTTCACTATCCGTTATACTCTGTATGCATGTCTATCTCTATATCAACCAATCCAAATATCTGTCTGTTTATCTATATTTTCTTTATGTTTATTTTTTCTTTCCTCCTTTTTTTCCCTTTTTTCTTCCGGTTTTATTGCTTTTCCTCGCATTATTTCATTTGACTTGCGAGCCGTATTATTATTATAAATTCTAGGGTTTGGAGTACATTGGTTTTGTAGCTAATTCAAATATTGTCACTTTTTTGTAATAACAATAAATCACAATTTTGAGCTTAGTGGGTTTGATGTATTTTGGGCGGGATCGACCCAAATTTCAATATCTCTGTTATGAATACATATTTAAATTAATAATTAGTTTAAAATATTTCGATAATTTTACATTTAAAATTTGAAAAACCCATGTGGTCAAGCGTTTTGTTTTCCCTATTTTACCTTATTTAGATTTTTATGGTTTAAATTTATTCATCCTAACGAATTTCCTTTTTTTTATATTTCAGGTGAGTCTGACAGCAAGTGAATTTAAGAACAAAATGTATAAGGTATGTACAAATTGAATATATCAATCGTCAAAACCTCCAACCCCAACATTCTCCTCTCTCACCATTAAATAAAAAAGTATAATTTAAGTAGTCATAAAAGTTTAGCTTTATCGATTTGCCTTGACAACTTGTCCGTCTTAATTATATGAGAAGCCTCTTGGGAGTTACCTGTTTATTTATTCACATGAAGGAGCTGGCAATCACAACTTGCCGAGTCATCTCGTAAGTTAGGGCTTAATGGTGAGCACGCACCGCACCCTCACTTAGCACCTACTATCAACACCTGAGCTACATGAATTTCCCGATTAGATATAATTTTCTCCTTATCTTTATGATTTGAAAAAATCCCTTCTTGGTGGAAAAACAAATGGGAAAAACTATATGGGCACCTCCATCTATTAGTTTACAACTCATATTCCAATATTTCTGATATTTATTTTTAAAAAATCTTACAATTGCTTAACAAAATATCAAAAATATGTATGATTATGATAATTGATGATATCTGCACTAAATTGACTTTTAAATTTCCAAGCCAAATTATCACCAACAAAGATCGACAGATTGAATAAATACACGATAACATCCAAATTTCATACAAAAATTGATAATTGACTTAGACACAACCACCAAAAAAGTTTCTATCTCGAAGATTCTATCTATACCAGAAAAACCCGGTAATGCACATGAACTCTTTTATTTACTATTCCTACAATTACAATATCATCGTTATACCAAAACCGATAGCTAAAATCCGTAGAATGTCTTTCTGTGTGTCTCTTTATGTTTCTATTTTTCTTTACCTTTGAATCATTGTTATCGCGTGCACTTACTCCATTTCTGTACCACTCCACCTTTTTTGTCTTTTTGTCATTTTACTTTTCTTCCTTTTTTCGCTCCTATTTTCATATACTCATCCTTTCTTTCTTTCTCACTTTCTCTCTCTTTCTCTCTCTCTCTCTCTCTCTCTCTCTCTCTCTCTCTCTTCCTTTCTCTTATTATCTCTATTTCGCTTAATTTCTTGACCTTCATCGTTTTCGTTTTTTTTTTAAATCGTTTTTGTGTTTCTTTCTTTTTTCCTTTTTGGTTTCCTCTATTGTTTATCTTCCTATATTCATTGTTCACTCATTTCTTTATTCTCTCTTTCATATTTACAGTATTTATTCCTTTCTTTTTTGATTTCTCTTTTATTGTTTGGTTTCCTCTATCGCTTGGTCACTCTCTATCTGTCACCCTCTGTTCTTCTCTCACATCCCCTCCTCCTTCCTCTCTCTCTTTTCGACACTTTGTGTTTAACTTAATAATTTTTTCTTTCATATTTATTTTTTTTTTCATTTTGTATTCAAGGCTCTCTCTCTCTCTATCTCTCTATCTATCTATCTCTCTTTCCCCCTTTCTCTTATTATCTCTATCTCGCTTACTTTCTTGACCTTCTTCGTTTTCGTTTTTAAATTTTTTTTCTGTTTCTTTCTTTCTTCTCTTTTTTTGTTGCCTCTATTTTTTATCTTGCAACACTCACTGTTCACTCATTTCTTTATTATCTCTTTCATATTTACATTATTTCTTCTTTTCTTTTTTGATTTCTCCATTATTGTTTTGTTTCTTCTCTCTTGCTTGCTGACTGTATCTGTCTCTCCTTTTCTTCCTTTCACACATCCATTCCTCCTTCTTCTCTATTTTTCCCACTCAGTGTTTAACTCAATACTTTTTTTTTTCATTTGGTACTCAAACCATCTTACTCCTACTTCCCTCTCTCACACTCTCCCTCTCTACCACTCATTTTTCTCTATCTCGAATAATTTCTTTACTTTCTTCCCTTTTCTGTTTCATCCGTAGTTTATCTTGCTACTTTCACTGTTCACTCATTTCTCTATTCTCTCTTTCATATTTATATTTTTCCTTCATCTCTTTTATTGTTTTGTTTCCTCTATCGCTTGTTCACTCTCTGTCTCTTCCTCTCTTATTCTCTCACATCCAGTCCTCCTTCCTTTCTATCTTTTCCACTCTTCGTGTTTAACTCAATACTTTTTCTTTCATATTTCTTTTCATTTTGTACTCAAGCCATCTTTCTCATCACTCTCTATATCTATATTTCTGTGTGTGAATATATATATATATATATATATATCACTTTACTATCTCTTTCATTGTCTCTTTTTGTCTTGAACATTCTCTCTCTCTCCCTCCATCTCTCTTTCCCTCTCTCTCCCTCCCCCTCGCTCTTTCCCCACCCCTCACCACTTTCTCTTTCCCCTCCCCCTCACCGCCTCACTCGTTCCCCTGTCACTCTCTCTTCCCTCTCCCCCTCCCTATTTACCTCTCGACGCCCCCTCTCTAACCCCCCTTTTCTCTCACGCCCTCCATCGCTCTCTCTCTTTCTCTCTCACTCTCTCTTTCTCTCTCCCGTGAATTTATCTAGCTTTCAGTTTTCTATCCGTCCTTTTTTTCTCTTTTCTGCTGCTCTTATTACTTTTATTCTTTTTTTTTTATTTGACTCAAACTTTTGATAGTTCATTGTTGTAATGAAAAGCTCGATCGGCACTCTTGATAATTTTTTCAAAATTTTCAAAATTAAAAGCAGAATAAAATAACTTCGTGACAAAGAAGATAGGGTCATTTTGATAATTTATAATCTAAAGTTGAATGAAATTAATATAATAATGACAATTTAAGTGAACGACTTGTTGTTATGGAATGGATAAAACAAGACGACATTCTTGGAAGAAACAAGATTTAATGAATGTCCCATAAAAGTTGACGGCTGTCATCGCGGGATCGCTTTTCCCCCGGCTCCGTTTTCGCGATGAAAGGAAAATCAAATTGCATAGCTCGTCTGCACTGCTTTTTGCCAATCCAATAAGATTAGCTTGGGGCTCAGCGACTCCTCCATCTTGGTTTGTCGCTAACTGTAACGGATGACAGGTCCCAGAGGCGCTCCCCGTGCAGAGGAACACGTCTAACTATCACCTAATTCCGACACATACAAATGTCGTCCTTCCCTTTTCCTATCTATCATTGGGCTGACCAGGTGGCCCGTTTCTTATTGCCTTTGGATTTTCATTACCGCTTTCTCGGCTATCGAATATCCTGACAATCCCTGGACCTTTTGACTCGTATTGAAAAGGCGTTACCATTGTTTTGATTTATAAGGGGATATAAAATCTCCTTACCCTCTTTTAATAAGGTGAAAATATAGATGGCTATTTCAGAAATTTATTCCTACCGTTTCTGACCGGGAACAATAGTTCAGTTTTTTCTTGTACTTTCTGTCTCATCGTAAAGTGGGGAGTTTTACCCAAATCCAATTTTTCTTCTATATGTCGTTCGGTCTCCAGATTAATCTCGGAGGAGCGTAGCTGGAAAGGTCCAGTCTCTGGACCGGGCGCTCTACCGGGTATCGGTTTTACATCCATCAGCTTAATCGAGTCGACACGTCGTCCACTTGACCGGAGATTAAACCTCGTAGGGTTTGGAAAATAAATTTTTCCTTGTATGAATTCTATTTATAATTAATCATGTTTTATCTCATGCCCGGGGAACAATTCTCTTGGTTCGAACTGAAGAGAAACAATCGGGAAATCCCAGCTTGTTGCTAATTTCGATTCTTGTGCTTTAATTCAGTTTTTATAAACCTCTTTTTCCATCCTCCCAGCATAAAACCCAAGAGAAAAGAATGAAAACACGTTTTTTACCCTTTTTCCCTCTCAAAATCCCTAAAGACAATTTTACTGAGATTCTGTTTATACAATATACATTATAACTTATCAAAATCATAGTTGACCGAAAAAAAGTAACAATCCCTTTATCAGTGAATTATCAAGGGAATTCTATTCCTCTTTTTTTGCCTGCCACCCTGCAAAACCTCAACCCATTGTGCTTTACCTTTTACTATATAAACTTGAATTACATTAATATTTAAATCCTGGTTTTTTCGTGTTCGTATTGAATAAAACATTTCATAGTTTGACAACAACAAATCAAATAGGACGAAGTGGTTGATATTGATCCAACTAGCTATTCAACGGCGAAGGATTAAAACATAAATTTTATATTTGTCTGCTATTTGAACGTCCCTGGCCATCCCAGGTCATTTATTTTATCTACTTTCCGTTTTTAGTTTTTTCAATTTCAGGGAATTACTTTTCTGTCACTTTATTCAATAACCAACATCTTTGTAGTTTTTGGTAACAATAGTGGTCGTAAAAGTCAATTAAAATGAAGTTAACTCGTTTTTTGTGGCAGTTTTTGAAATTTTAAAAATCAAGGTGTGAAAGTCAATTCTTATCTTTCTGTACCTCTATATTCAAAAAATAATTAAATAAAACAAAATAAAGTCAATTCATTGGATTTTACCAAATCTCTCGGGATGTATTTTAGTTAGGATTATTTTGGGAGGTGCAAAAAAAAATAAAAGTCTAATGACAGTTTACACGTCAGCCAATGAGAAGTGATAAGTTTGTAATAATTATAAATAATGTCACGATAGCTCAAGTTGTTAGAGCAGCCGAAGGTCGTGGGTTCGAATCCCGCTCGTGACACTAACTTTTTCATTTCAATCAAAACCTTACATAAAAAGATTAATTAATTGAAAGATGTAATTTGGCCAATAGACCGTTATATATAATGGGTTTGTAATAACGTGGTTTATTTTTTTTTTGTAACATCAATTTTTGATAAGGTTGATGTGCCGGAATTTTCGTTATGATGGAAAGTTTTCAGGATTTTTAATAAATGTTTGTCCTCGACGCAATAATCAATTGAAATGAATTTAAAACTTTTAAGAGGTTGTCTTTGTAGTAATAGTTAATAGAGATGAGGTTATTTCTTTGTTGGAATAGTAGGTAATAGTGGGCCAATGATGGTACTAACGCCTTTTTAGGCCAGATTTTGTCGGAATAATCAATTAAGGTATTCATGCATTCATGGTGAGTTGGTGGCTTTGTAATACCAATTCTGGATTCTTGTATCGTTGTTTTGTTATTACAAGATTAGTGTCCAGA